ATTTTTTTTTAAAGATTTTATTTATTTATTTGAGAAAGAGAGCATGGGTGGGGAGGGAAAGGGGCAGGCAGAGGGAGAGGGAGAAGCAGACTCCCTGCCGAGCAGGGAGCCCGATGTGGGACTCGATCCAGGGACTCCAGGATCATGACCTGAGCCGAAGGCAGTCGCTTAACCAACTGAGCCACCCAGGCGCCCCTTGAACACATTTTCTATATCACATTACACTAGGGTTGTTTGCATGTCTGTCTCCTGCTAGACTGAATGCTTCTGGAAGAAAATGAACTGTGTTTTCATTTTTCTACCTCAAACATCTAGCCAGAATCAAGCTTTGGCACATTGTGCTCAGCGTATTTTAAGCACTACAATAGATATTTGAGGAATGAGTGAATGAATAACTAAAGCCTAAAATAATCTCTTACCCAATCTAGCATTTTCCTTTTAGAAATAATTATTATAGAGGTAATACATATTTATTGAAGAAAATCTAGAAAATACTAATAAGCTTTTTAAAAAACTTCACTGAGGGGCACCTGGGTGGCTCAGTCGGTTAAGTGGCTGCCTTCGGCTCAGGTCACGATCCCAGGGTCCTAGGATCGAGTCCTACATTGGGCTCCCTACTCGGGCGGGGAACCTGCTTCTCCCTCTGCCTCTGCCTCTGCCTCTTCCTGCCTCTCTGCCTACTTGTGCTCTCTATCCTATCTCTCTTTTAAATAAATAAAAATCTTAAAAAAAAAAAAAAGCTTCACTGAATATCCAAATAGAAATAAACAGAAGTTAACATTTTGGTAATAACCTTCAAGTCTTTCTTTTTTTCCTTTCTTGTTAACATGGTAATCACTTTTCTTGCAATTTTAAAAGATAACTTTGTTCTTTTTCTTTCTCTGTGATTATATCCTTAGGATAAACCTCCATTAGTAAGACTGATGGGTCATCTGATTTTGATTTCTCTATTGTGATTTATGCTGCTCCCTATTTCTGAATTTGCTTGGCTCATCTCTGTTACTTCCCTCCTGCCCCACACACGTAGTCAGCTAAGTTCTATCCATGTTGCTTTTCTGTCTTTCATGGACTTGTCCCTCATTTCTTTTTTTTTTTTTTTTTAATTTTATTTGAGAGAGAGAGAGAGAGGGAGAGACAGCACACACAGGGGGAGGGGCAGAGAGAGAGGGAGAAGCAGGCTCCCTACTGAGCAGGGAGCCTGATGCAGGACTCAATCCCAGGACCCTGGGATCATGACCTGAGCCGAAGGCAGACGCTTAACCGACTGAGCCACCCAGGTGCCCCTTGTCCCTCATTTCTATTCAGAGCCAGAACTCTAACTTAGATCCAAGTTATCTATGGCAGCAGCTGGAGGATAGAGACTTCTGGATTATTATAGCTCTGTAACCTTGGGGGGGGGGACTGCTCTGTACCTCAGTTTCCTCATCTGTAAAAAAGAGGATAATAATTGTACTTACCTTACAGAATTTGACACTTGAGGAGTGCTTAGAACAGTGCCTGGCACTCAAAATGTTAACTCTTATTAGGAATGGTATAATAGCTTGTTGACTAGTCTAACTCCATTTTCTCTCTCCATCAAAATATATTCTATTTGGCAACAGATCTATCTTCTTACACTACTACTCTGATCACATCACACTTCTGCTCAGCGGTTCCCCATTACACACAGAAAATGTGAATTTTGCTTAGCCTGGGTAAGAATATCCTCCTCAAATGAAACCTACTTCTTTAACTTTCCTTCTATTAATTTCCTTCACAAATACCATCTGCTTTAATAAAATGAATCAACTCATTGTCTTTGAAATATTTATCATGCTTTCTGCCTATCAATTATAAGGCTCAGATAAAATAAAATAAAGTAGCAATTCCTCCTTGGAGCCCTTGTTGACTTCCTCAGGCTTAAAGTAATTGCTCTTCTCCATTAATTTCTTTTCTCTGGGACATAAAATATATACAACATTCCTTATATTCCCTGTTGAATTATCAGTTATCTTTACATGTACTTACAGCACTCAAATACACATCTAAGTAAAATGCCTTCCAACTATAATGTAAGCTTCTTCCTGGTGGATGGATATTGTATCTCATTTGCAGATGCTAAATAAATGTTGGGTTAACTTACTACATTTTTATAGAGCTTCCTAAAGTTTTCATTCCACAGACCTTCATGAAAGTACTTTAATACATTCTACTGTACTGGATTAATTCAATTTATACTGTTCTAACTCTCAGTAACAACAGGCTAAAATACCATTACGTTAGGTAAATGATGATCACTATTAACATCCTCACACCCTTTGATTTTCAAAGGAAAGATGTATATACAATGATCCACTGGGTATAGAAAGAAAAAATATGTATTTTTAATGATCTTTTAAAAAGTATGTGTTTTGTGTAAGCTTTTAATGTATACAACTTCTCAGCAAAGTAGTTTATTCATATAACATAAACAACTGAAGTGTGTGGAATTTTTTTTTAACTGATGGAATGTACAATTATGTAGGTATGGAGATGACCACCATGGAGTATTTTCTGTGGGTGCTAATCTTAAGCGGATGGTATCATCAGTTCTCGAAGAAATTATTATTCACATACTCATACACTGATATATTAAAAAATGCTTATACAAAATGAGCTATATCAGTTCTAGATTTTATTATACATTGAGCTATAGTGCAGGAACAATCTTGTATTTCAGAATTAAATCCCATGCTAGGGATTTAGCATAAAAAAGTCCCATTAAACAGACTTTTGTTTTAATAAAACAATGGTGTTTATATTCCCATTAACCAATCCTTAATGTAAAAATTAAGGGCAGACATAACTTCTGTTATTCACTATTTATTTGTTGTTATAAGTAAACATTAACTTTTCACTTATTTTATTCTATAAATATTGGTCTTTGATATTCAAGGACATAATTAGCTACACTATAAGAATGGTCATTAGAACACTAGCGAACATAAAAGGGAAAGTGCACAGAATTAAGAAAACCTGTTTCCTTTGTTATTAACCTTGGAGAAGCGACTTTGCCTGTCTGGATCTGTTCTCTCATGTGTATAAGGAGTGCTGGTTGGACTGGACAATTCTAACATCATGTCCTAGTTCTAATATTCTATGATTCCTATCAAATATAAATTACTATAAGTAATAATTAAACTTGCCCTTTCTTTTCTTTATATATAATGTGCGAAAATCTGTGTTTATATTATTATCAGACTGGAAAATATGTCTGAGCTGTTTGGGTACTTGCACAAAAGGGGCAAAGATGGATGGTCCTGCTGTACTTACAGATGCTCTGGCACCAAGAAGTTTGTATTACTGTACGTGTGGGGACGTGGTCTAGAAGACTAAAGTCTCTAAATGTATAATGTGTATGTATTATTTTAAAAGTGT